CTACTTGCCACATAAGTAAATAATTAGACGCGAAATATTGATTTGAGTTGAAATATTTGAACGCAAAGCTTCCCTAAAGACAGCAGTTGCGAGCAAGTGGCAAATTCAAACTAGACGGACATTTAAGGGAAACGGGGCAGTCAAACCACTTATTACACAACATTTCACCACAAAAATAATTAAGGCAATAAAAGAATTAAGACGAAAATGGTTTAAACCCTTACCAGTTTGTTAGTTCATACCTCGGAATGTCGCGACTGACCAATCAGAATCAAGTATTCCACAGAGCCGTGTAATAATTTAGATTAAAAACTACTCATGCTGCATGTATGCTGCATCTTTGTTTGGATCATGATTAAATCCAGTGGTTGCCTGCCTCTAATTTTAAATGGCAAGAGCACAGACAAAGCCTTAGTTTTTTCATATTAAGAGATTTATTTTATTTGTGTAACTTACTTGCTTGATTTGGGAGTTTGTTTTAAAATTTCAATTTAGTTTTGTTATATTTCAATTTCACAAAGAAACGGGCAGCAATAGCCTAATAAAATGACACCTTTTCATTTACTACTGGATAATGTCTTCAATCTCATCATGTAAAAACAAAAAAATCGTGAGAAAATCGAATCGTGAGTTGAGTGAATCGTTACATCCCTAAAAACAGTGGATTTAACATCAAAATGTAACATCTAATGTTAAAATGTCAATGCAGCCTCCCTTTAAATACTTTAGTCAGTTCAAGAATAATTTATGCAATTTCATATTTATTTGAAAAAAAAAAATGTAAATAGCTATTTCATGTCTAATCTTGTATTGTTCAACTGGTCGAGGATGATATGGGATTTAGAAATTAATTAGTTATAAGTAATGCGATAATTTTTATGGAGTAAATGCTACAGTAATCTAATTAGGCCTACACTGCTGAAGATGTAATTAGGAGCTAGTAATTAATGACTTTTTTAGAGTACCTTACACAACACTGATCCACTGTTACTGATTTGTGAGCTCCTAGCATGCATTGCAGCATGAATAAATGATGCGGTTATTTTGTGCTGTTTGCTGACTTTATCCACAGAAGAAAGTAAGTCATACAGGTTTGCAGCGGCACGAGGGTGATTAAATGACTTACAAGAAAGACATGATTTTACTTTGGCTAAAGATCTCAAATGGACAAAACTAGACTTAACCAGACCATTGCATTAACCTGTTTATCAAGCTTCAGTTCACCGTCAAAGACAAGACTCAGATTTTTTACACTTGATTTAACATAGGGGGCAAAAGAATTAAAAGTTACCATATAGGTGGTTTTTGGGCTTCCTCTGTCCCGAACATTATGATCTCAAGTTTGGTTCTCTCATTCTAATTTAAAAAATGAAAAGACATCCATGACTTGATGGTCAGCAAGACAGGCAAAGAGAGAATCTAAACAATTCTTGAACTGTTTTAGGGGCAAATAAATCTGAGTGTCATCCGCATAACAGTGAAAAGACACATTATATCCCCTAAGGACTGAGTCCAGAGGAAGCATATGAAACAAGTTACTCTTAAACCAACAGCACCTTGTGCTGTTACAGTTATATATTTCAAAACATGTTTTGGGGCCACTATAACCATTCAGAAATATTAAAGACTAAATGCAACAAATAAAACACTTAGACTGTTTATTTGGTGGTCAAGCCTTACAATAAACAAAACCTGCAACTTCTGACCTTGTAGGTCCAATTTTCAAAACCTTAAGAATTAATTTGTCTAATATTATATTATATTATGCTGTTATTTTTATTTATATGGTTTTATATTCATATTTCATATGACATTTTTACATTATAAAATATTTAAATAGCTATTTTTATGAAATATTATTCTTGTTTTTTTTTTGTTTTTAGTAACCAAAGGCAAAGGTAAAGGAATGGTAAAGGAAGTTTTTAAGGGTCCAGAAGTCTGTAAGGATCCAGTGAGACTTTGCACACATGCAATCGGAGTCAACATCTTCAAACAAGGCGAGGATCCTCTTATTAAACCCAAGGAGGACTATCCAGAATGGTATGATGGTGTATTTTACTTTGTGCTTTTATAATGATTTTATTTATGAAAGTTTCCACCACAGAAAAAAAAAAAAAAAGATAATTGAAATTTTTGTATTTCACAATTCAGATTTTTTTTTATATATCTCACAATTCCAAATTCTAAACTTGTAATTGCGAGTTTTAAGTTGTAAATAATTCTGAATTTACATCTTTCAATTTTGACTTTTTTTCTCTGAATTTTATTTACATCTTGCAATTTTGTAGAGTTTATGTCTCACAATTCTGCTTTTTGTTTCCACCACCGAATAAAAAATAAAAAAAGGTAATTGTTCATTTTGTTGCAATTGTAAGTGTACATTTTACAATTCAGACTTTTATTCTCTCAATTGCGAGGGGAAAAAAAACAGAATTGTGAGATAAAAATTCTCAAATGCCTTTTTTTTTTTTTATTATCCGCTGGTGAAAACAATATTTCAAATTTGCTGCATATCAAGCTAGAAAAATGCCATGCTTGTATCTCAAGTTGTCCCATACCTTCAGGTTGTTTCAGTTGGACCTCGGTCCACCCAAAAACCTCAATGAACTTCAACCAGACAGTCGGGAATACTGGAAGCTTTTAAGGAAGGAGCATATTTGGAGACATAATAAACTGCATAAAGGCAAAAAGATGTAGAGGCTTTGGACAGAATTATGCATCTTTGAGAGCATGGCCTGGGTGAACCTTTGCCTTCCCAGCATTCACAGCGCACATTACCTGAGGCGCAGGTTGAGATATGTTTCTCTGCTGAGTGGACTTCAGATTTGGAGACATTTATCTTCTTTTCCAGTGTAACGAACAAATCAGTGCTATGTCAGAGGATTGGTTGTATTTTTGTTGTCATTCTTTGTATTATTAACGTCACTGTGTTATTTTTCTCACTTCTGTCTCATGAAAAAAATTAAATTCTAATGCGGAATGTCAAAGTGTATTTTCTTCCTTGCGTGCGCTTTCTCGTAGTCATGAAAAGTTGGAAATGTCAAAGTGAAATTGTTTGTTATAAGAGTCTAATTGTCAACAAAATTGTGGAAATCTTTAATCATGCAAAATTAATTTAACTATCTGACTGTCTGTATATTTGTCCTGTTGTGTGAGGTTACGGGTTTCATCTCTTCTTCAACAGGAGTGACTCGTCGACATGATGATGGCTTGCTGCTATAGGTCGAGAGAAGGTGAAAGTAAAAAGCTCGTGCTGCGCGTGGTAGGAGTGCATGCAAATACATGTTAGAAAGAGGAACTACTGACTGAAAAAGACAACTGCTGCGGATGTTTACCATACTGATTTACCGAGTCTGATAAGCATTAGTCGCAGTAACTGATTCAAAGTGAGTTAAAAGGATATTTAGTGTCCGATTGACCGATTATTGGTAAATCAGAGTGCGTACAGTGAGATCTTTTTTTAAATATTAATATTTGTGCTGCGGTCGCTTGACAACTTACGTTTTACGAAGCCGGGATAAACTCACTTCCTGGAGTCTAAATTACCGTATAACAGGTAAGTGTACTTTTGTCAGGTTAAGTTGAATTAAATAACAGCTTTTCATTTGATATATTTAATTTTACAAAATGAAATCGAACATTATATTAGTATACATACTGATCTGTGATCTAAATGCAATAATCTATATCGATCTTTTCTGATGATGGTGGCAATGATGTGACCGAGAACTAAATGTTTTAATTAATTACCTCTATGGTTGGTTAGTTAAACTTACTTTTCCCAAAGCATTGACAAATGTGTCGTATATATTAAAATATAGAGTGCATTCGGTTCCGCATTTTCATGTTACTTACTATAGGCTATGTTGGGTTCTTCTTTTAATACAGGAACAAAGTCAGCGTTAATATAAAACTCGTAATAAGATTTTTTTGTGTGTTTATGTAGTGTTTTTAATATATATATATATATATAATATATAAAAAGAAAATAATAGTAATATATGTTTGTAACAATAGCCAATAAGGATTTCTTAGATTATAAAAAAGAGAAGTCTTTCACACTAGATTAAAACACGTGTTCATGTGTACAGAAATGTAATTTTCATATTCAAGTTGATTAAAAAAATTTTTTTTGAAAAACGTCAGTAGCATTGACTACAAAATTTGGATTTAATATAAAAAATACCAATATGGATTAAGGTTTGTTTTTTATGGTTTTGATATTTGTTCTGTGATATTGGTTAAGAGGCTAGACAGAGTAATAACATTTGTTAGGAAATTCATGCACTGTCTGGGACATAGTTCCGTAAATGTTTGGTTTGGGAAGTTCACTGATAGTTTCTTTTGAAAAATCACAGAAATAGAAACCACTGGTACATTTTGTTGAACAACTGAAAACTAAATCTTACATCTTGGAAAAAAACATTCCAGTCTGACGAAAAATTTAAATAAACCTCTTGTCATTTATTTCTCAGATCATTTACCAAGTTATGGAGGACAAGAATTTGGGTGTAGAAACCCTGAGCGAGGCAGCGCTAAACAGACTTGGTTACATGCTAGACAATCTAGAGTGTGGTTGGAAACAGCTGGCAAAGGCAGTGGCCGAACAGCCACAGTTCTGCTATAGGTAGGTCATACATAGACTCAATTGTGTGAAATAACTAACCGATACTGTGCATGGTAGTGACCGATTCTCAATTAAAGAATCTACTTTTTTGCAGTGAGAAAGAGCTGACTGACTGCTCACTCAAAGTGCTAAATCCACATGGCAGTCCTGGCCGATACCTGCTTGCCCTCCTTGCAGATAGAGGGTGTACCTTGGCTTTCCTGCTTCAGTGCCTGAAGAAAATCGAGCACAGAGAGGCTGCTGGATTTCTCACTACACATGGTAGCTAAATATATATACGAAATGATTATGATCTAATCTAGAACAGTTCCTCCATCCTCACTGTGGTGTGCCTTTGTGGTTAGAGTTTTGGTTTGATAACCCAGGCCAAAAAGGGTGAGTCATATCACTCAGGTGTTATTTGTTTTTTTGGGTAGTGATGGAGCAGATTGACATCACACTCCAGCCACAGAGTCAGCGGGTACCAGAGGGAAGTCCCGTGGTTCTGAGCTGCAGAGCAGTTGGAACTGTGGACCTCACCTACCAGTGGTTCAAGGGCAAAGTTGAGGTCTGGTGCACTAAATTTGTAACTGAACCTACTGATTTGAAATATTACCCTAAGTCTGGTTCTTTATGTTCTCGGTAGGTGCCAGGAGGCAATGGCCCAGAGCTGGTGCTGAATCCTGTTAGTCCGGCTCAACAGGGCCCCTACATCTGCCGTGTAAGTTCTGGGGAAAGGTACGTCTTCTCCAACTGGGCCCATGTACGTCTAGTGAGGTCTGGAGGCGCAAGTGCAGGCATGTGAAGATTTCACTTTAAGCTGAGTCTGAAATGAATCACATTTCCTTCATCACTGATAAATATGTCAATTGTAGGTTCCAGCTACTTCCCTTCATCAGCTAGTGGGTTGTATGTAACTCAGCAACCTAGGCCTCAAGTGTTGATGGAGGGAGACACTCTCTATCTCGAATGTACTGCTCAGGCCAACCCGCCTCCCCAGTTCCAATGGTATCTTAACAAACAGCCAATGCCAAACTGTACTAGAAGCATCTTAAAGGTACTCATCAAAGTCTCACAGTTGAATGTGTAGAGTAATTCACTTGAATTTACTTACTTGGGCATCTATATGTGCTTGTCCTCAGATTCCATGCATAACCACAGCAGACAGAGGTACATATACTTGCAAGGTTTACAACCTCTATCATGAAGCGTGGAGTGATCAGGTCCAAGTAAACATCGGTAGGACGCCAAGACAAAATTATTTATAATTATCCCCTTAAATATAAATGAAATAAATAGATAAAAGATTTTTCTTTATAGCATGGCCTGTTTTCACTCAGGTCCTGGTTCCTTTTCTGATGCCTCATGGGAAGCGCCTAAAGTAGGTAAGCACAATCTGTTTAATTGTATGAATTTAACACATCTACTGATGTTTTCTTGTCACTCACATGCACTATTATGTTTTACAGGTGCTCCTGATGCAGGTCCAAGGCAAATTGGTGATTGTTGCGGTAAGTGATAAGCAGAAGTGTGGTGGTTACTCTTGGCATTTATTGTATTCAGAGGATCTGCTATGTCAATCTTGTCACTTCAAAAATTATAGCCACTGATAAGGTAGCACTGCTTATTGGGAACATGAACTACCTGCATCACCGTCAGCTGAGAGCTCCCATGGCAGATGTGCATGAGTTGACAAACCATCTACGCCAGTTAGACTTTAAAGTCGTCGCTCTGCTGGACCTCAACTGGCAGGAGATGCATAGTGCTGTTACTGAGTTCTTGCTGCTGTTGGATCGAGGGGTTTATGGTTAGTTCCTTGTTGCATCATTTGGATTTCTGCAACTATAGAATGTTAGGCCAGTTTCTAAGTTCTACACATCCTGATTGTTTGTTTATTAAAAACATTTGGATAATTTCATCCATGTCCACCATTTCAAGGGCTGTTGTACTTTGCTGGTCATGGCTATGAAAACTATGGGAACAGTTTCATGGTACCCATCGATGCTCCAGCCTCTTATACCTTCAAGCACTGCCTCTGGGTGCAGGATGTGTTACAGCGCATGCAAGAGCGCCAGACGGGACTTAATGTCTTTCTATTGGACATGTGTCGGAAACGGTGCAGTTTGATTCATAAGTGTATCAGTTCTGAATTATTGTGCATAAAATTTTACTTGAAACTGACACTTCAGTTGTGTTGTTCATTCAGAAACCCAAATGACGAAAGCATCCCACAACCTGGCCCCTTGAGAGTGACAGCAAACATAGTGTTTGGCTATGCAACGTAAGTCTAATGCAATGACAATCATTTTATTGACATCTAGAAATTGTGATTACAATCTTCACATTCTGGATTCAGGTGTGTTGATGCCGAAGCATTTGAAGTAAATAAAGACGATCTCTCTAATGGAATCTTCATGAGCTTCCTTAAGAAAAGACTGATGGAGCCAGAGAAGGTCACGGTCATACTTGACAAAGTAGCTGAAGGTTTGGGAATAATGTTCAAATCTGTTGGTATTGACATTTTGTTTGAACTACTTTTCAAACAAAAAATGTTACAAAATGTGCAATTACTTTTATGACACATCTACGTCACAGGCTCCTATAAAAAACCTGATGACAGCAAGTGTGACCGCATAGTTTTACAGAGTCAGTGTCCATTGCAGACATGGGAAGGTGTGAAATCACTCGTGGTCGGCAGGCTCTAGAGCTGCGCAGTAATCTCTCGGAGCGTCGTGCCCTGACAGACAGCATTCAGGCTCCAGCATGCCAAGTCACAGCGTCAACACGAAACTTACAGTGGGCCATCGCTCATGGTTCGACCTTTTCATAATAAAACCCCTTTAGTTTATATCCTTATGCAAAGCACTTTGGCTGTAGATAAAATTATGATATACATAATGGCGATATTGTGTGAATTGTTCCAGTCCTCCCAGAGAGCTGCTGTCTTCAGTTCGAATGTGGTGTCAGGGTACAGCTAGGATTTGCTGCAGAGTTCTCCAATATCATGATCATCTACTCTCAGATATTGGAGACTCCTAAAGACATTTTGTCCTGCTCTGCTCAGCTCTCTGATTTTACAGAGGTAAACTGACTTTCTTGATCTGCAAAGAATGTATTGAATTAGTCCTGAGAAAATATAACATAAAGATGTATCATTAATTGCTTTCCTATTAATTAAATACATTGCCTTTTCATGGCCTGCTTTAACTTGGTGTATCTTCTGTTGATTGTTAATGAATTTTTCTGTAGTCAGTTTTGACAATGATATAATTTCAGGGTCCTGAAGTAGACCTGAAGCACAGCAATCAGGAGAGTCTTTGCGAGGCTGGCAGCTTACTACTGTCCATGGATGATCTACTGCCTCTGGAACAGCCTCAGCTCTTCACTCGTATTAGTGCCCTGCAAAGGCTCAAGGTACAGTATGTGTACAGTATTATACAGGAGTTGGTCAAAATGAGGGAACACCTGGAAATAGGCAATATTTCTTTATTATTGGGTAGGTGATTTCGGAAAGGCTAGCAATAACAAGCTAGCTTTGAAAGCAAGATCCCACCCTCCCTGCATAATCACTCTGCAAAGCCACTGTTCAAAACACATGAATGCGCTCAGGCAGTCCAGAGGCTAACCAGTGACAAAATGAGAGACAGTGTTGGTGGAGAGATGAATGCAATGCTGTCAGATTACCTCATGTCTCATTTGCCGGTGAGAAAACATTACAGTACAAAGCGTATAATATTACAATAATAATGCCTTCCATTCTTGCTCGGTCTGCAATAGCGTAACGGAACACGCTGATGACGTATCATGTCCACGTGAACAGGGTGCACAGAGGTGTCCAAATACAAACGTTGACAGGCAGATGAGACAGCTTATCATAATCTTCGGATCCTGATAGGCTCTAGTGGAATGTCATCTATCAGCCACTTATTTCAGAGAAGTTGAAGGGAATCTGCTTCTCATTCTTCTCTCCAAACTGTTCAAAGTCAGGTGATTTTCAGGTGATTTTTCTGGCCAGGGCAGATGTTGAAGTTTTAAGATCAGGTTTAAGATCACACCATCATTTTCACATTTTAGTATTGGTGATTAAAATTTTAGCAGGTGCAGCACTTTCAAGGATGTTGGCTTTGTGAAGCTCTCTGTGGTAAGTTTTTGTGGAATCTAGGTATTTATGGTGACTTGAGGTTTGCTGTCATTTTGCAGCAGTAGTTCTGTGTTGTTTGGACACAATCCTTCATAGTGTTCGACGGCCCATATTATCCACTTTTCGGTTTTCGCCTGCTATTCTTCTTTGCTGATAACGTCTTGCCATGCTTTGTGTACGTAGTCATAATTGTAAAGACTGTTGTTCCTAAAACATTGAACAAATTGGGCTGTTAAGGTTACGGATGTTCCTGCTAAACGGGCTTCAATGACTTGTCCTTTTTGGAAGGCTGACAAATCACTTCACTGAGCACTTGTACTAAACACTGAAAAGATAAATAAAAGATAATCAACTTTTGTTTTTTCACTGTAGCCTACACAAATTTGATTAACCCCTATAATAATGGGTGTTCACAATATTTTGTCCAATCCCTGTATATTTAATGTATTACGTATAAAGCATATATATTATAAGGCATATCTTACTTGCTTTTCCCCTCACAGAAAGAGCTCTCGTTTACTGTTTGTATACACTACAAGTACACTAATCTGGATGAAGAGGTCTTGGAAGAGCAAAGAGTCAGTGTAGGCAAACCATTAGTGTCAAAACTCAACCTCCACGAGCCACGACTCTCTCACACCTCCTCCTCTGACCGACAAATCTCCAGTATGATGGAGTCTTCATCCTTCAGTGAAAGCTTCAGAGCTAACCTGCCCAACTTAAACCCTTCCTCCATCGGATCTGCATCTACATCCTGGTCCTACTATCAAGGACCCATGGAATCACCCACATTTTCTAGCTTAAAGAATGAACCAGAGGAAACCATATGTCCTGAGTTCCTTGAAGCCGAAGAACCTCCCGCCATCAAGAGTTTGCCTAGCGCCTCTTCTCAGGAGCTCCCATTTAAATTTAGCAACTTACCAAATTCCATTTAGCAGGAAAGTGTTCAAAGCTGTGCATCTTGGATGCTACAGTGTATGTTACAGTGTGATTTTTTTTTATATTTCACCCTGACTGCCATGTTACAGAAGCTTGTGAATGTAATGTAACTGAGAAAGCTGGTGTACTCTTACAGCTTACAGTATCGTATTGTTGATACATTTGCCAGTGCATTAAATTATCCTAGTTTGTCTTCATTTGTTTTTTTTCATTAAACTACACCACAAATGATTCTGTCTGTGGTAATGATTGTAATGTATCTATCGCTTGAATTTCATCATGCTAAACAAAATACATATCTAGCAATAAAACAAATCACCAATAACAAATCCCCTGCAGTTCCCATGCTCCTGACAAACCAATCTTTCCAAACATTTTGTATCGTTAATTGACGCAAACATGCAAGTCATATACACTGTTTTTACCCTCTAAAACATATCAGCACACACTATGTTAGGTGACCTTGACTGACATGCAACGTGTAATTATAATCTGCTACTCATAATGTCTAAGTAAGACCAAGTAACATTATTTTTAGAAAAACAGGCAAAATATTATATCAAGTTCCTGCACTCCTTTCAAAATGCTCTTAAATATTATCATCACATCAGCTAATGTAACATTTTATGAATAACTGACTAAATAGACTATTTTTGTATAACATTCGATTTCCATTCCCACCTGTAATGTATCAAATTTGCAAAAACCTTCTTGGACAACAGTTTTTCCCGCGCTCCTGTCAAACCGACCTTGACCATGCTGACGCTTGCGCGCATGCGCCTAAAATCCCAAGGCAGACGCATGCGCAGGACGCCAGTGGACTGCGCCATTTTGTTTCGACTGAGAAAGTAAACGCTGTTCATCGCGCTCTGTAAAATTCGGTGAGTGTGCGCGGGGTAGAGAGAGAGAGAGACTCGTCCTTCTGCTTCCACCGTAACGTTCTCACAACCTGAAAACATGTCAGACTCGTCGACAGCAGACGTGGGGCCTGTGGAGGCGGGCGTTCGTAAATTATCGGAGCTGAGAGTGATCGATTTGAAGGCCGAGCTGAAGCGCCGAAATCTCGACATCAGCGGCAATAAGAGCCTGCTTTCAGAAAGACTCAAAAAGGCAAGAGATATAACACCAGATATAAACATATCTAATCATTTTGCAACTCCTGTTATATATTAGATTAAACAAGCTTTGCATGCATACTGGTGTGGATGTTTACTGTAGTAACGTTACATGTGCTGTTTATAGGCGATTCGTGTTCTGTTTTTGCTGATAGGATGCATTGGATTACTAGTGTTAATTTGTCAAATGCATTAAAAAAATGTTTGCATTAGGGGCTCAATCCCTAACTGGTTGTCAGGAACCCTTGATTTATGGCAGATTTATGTGTTTTGCTCTCCTTCCACTCTAACGTTAGCTCCGGGAATAATATATACATATATATATAGTACATATGTTCATATGACTTTATTCTTTTACACGATCGGCGTTTTATGGAGGGATATGAAACGCGTTCAATTCGGAGCTGAAAGTGACTGGCTGCACTCAAGCGGCAGCAACCCACCAGTCGGGATCTCGGCCATTTGAGCACGTTATTTGTGATAAACCTCCCCAAAATGTCGACAGTTTAAAAGAATAGACCTATAAGAATGTATTAATAATCATACAATAGTATATTTCCTTGCAGAGACAGCGTTAGAGAACGCGTTAAACTCGCAGCGCTCTTGCGGCTGATTGAGCGGCATCGCTGCCATTTTAACACTTTATTTGTGATAAACCTCCCTAAAATGTCGATCATGTAAAAGAACGGACCCATATTTTATTTTATTTTTACACACAACCGTGGCTGTTTCAGACATCAAACTGGCTTTGCAGGATGTTTTGAATTCAATGCTTACGTAATATGCAGTGAATGAAGTGTAGGTTGTCATTGTAGAATAATTATGGATTGTTGTGACGCTGTAAACAGTAGGCAGATGGGTGGCAGTTAGACTTGTATTTGACTCTATAAATCATACTTTCATTTTTAGGTCATTGAAGAAGAGGGCGGGAATCCAGATGAGATCATTGTACACCTAGAGATAACTCCTAAAAAAACACCTCGGCGAACTCCAAAAGGTAAAAGTGTGTTTCTTTTTTTTTTAAACTCATTTTCTACATAATTATGTTTCACAAATCAGCACAAAACTTGCTTCAAGTTTATAGTTTGAAAACATATTTTTCTGTTTCGTTCTATAGGAAAGAGACAGGATGAACCTGATGAACCTGAAGATTGCACCCTTGAGGAGGACTCTGTTGATGGCCAGGTGCTTCATCATATAAAGTTGTTCACGGATATGATCTATGTAACTGGGTTGGGTTATTTTGCATAGGTTTATCAAAATTAAGAGCCGCCTTTACTTCCTTCAGGAGGACCTAGATGCTATTCCAGAGAACCTTCATGAGATGGATATTATGGACATGAATGTCCTGGATGAAGCTGATATGGGCAATGGAGGTGGGCCTGATGGTGATGAATATGACGAGGAGGTTCTAGACACCTTGTCGAATGAAGAGAACACAGACAACCTGAGGGAGGATGATGCAAATGACCATGACGTGGAGGATGTCTGTGATGTTGTCATGAGTAAATCTGGGGAGGAGGAGGTGAGGTTTTAAAATTAGCCATTGATACCGCCGTTCTGTTCTTATTGCACATTGTGTGACGCTTTCTTTGGCTTTCAGGAAATGGAGCCTAATGACGCAGATGTGGATGAGAACCAGGAAGCGCCTTGTCAGGTATTCAAGTTAACATTTTTGAGAGTTGTTTCTTTCTGATGGGCGTTGGGTTTCTTTTATTCATCTTTACTTATTTTCCATTAGCAGGGGGATGATGGTGAGCATGGATGCGAGGACACAAAAAGTGAAAAAGGTACTGTATGGGGTTTTCTGGAATTGCTCTTAAGGTCAGGGTGAAGCCTTAAAGTCCTTTTAGTATAAATGTATCAGGTTACTCAGGAACAAGAGACTGGAAATCCAAAGTTGATTACTGGCTTTATGCATTGCTGTCAATAGACATTTAGCCATTTATATTGATTTATAACCACTTTATAGTCACATGCTTTTTTTGGAAGGTGCAGATATGCAAAGAGCCAGTAATCTGTTTCAGTTAGCACATAGATTGGTTTAAATGGTTGTTGCAGATGCAATTTAGTGTTTCTAGGTTGCCTAAAGAAGACCACAAAGAGAAGATGAGAAGAATTGGATCATGCTGAAGCAAAATCTCTATAGGACTCAAAGTTTGTTAATTGGAGATTTCACTAATGGACCATTTGCTTGTTTCAAAAGAAACACAATTCCTGTAAAGACAGCACAAGCTGCTGCTTCCATATCACGGACACTTCAAGTACTAAAGTCGACGATGGACACTCGAATGTGGTGCAGGTCTTGTGGCTTTCCCTAGTCAACAGCTTGCCCTCTGCTTTGGGGTGCAGGTGAACTGAAAATAAATGGCCTGTTGTCTGGAAGCTTGTTGATTGTTCTCGCTTTGGTTTTTCCAGTCTCTTCACAGGGTAGCTTGCCTTTGCTTGTGTATGAGACAGCAGAGGGCCACGTCCTAGTCCAGTTCCACGATAACCATTGCAATGTCTCAGAAGTGATTAAACTCTGTGCCATTCTATTCCTGTTAAATCCGTAGAAAGTGAGAAAGTAGCCGGGTCTTGTATATCAGAGCCACTTAAGGAAGACACCACTGAAGAGCCGACTGAAGACGAGAAATCTTCTGTCTGGGATTCTCACAAAGAGGAAGACAATGTGCAGGACCTCACTAACACCGAGGAGGCCACCAATTTGGAAGCAGAATCGTCAGCCTGTGAAATGGACGTTGATGCATCAAAGCAAAGTGAAATTGAATCAACAAGCAAGGACCAAGAAAACATTCAGGACAATTTGGTGGACACCGAGAGCACTTCTGCGCAGGCCGCTAATGCTAGCGAAACAGATTTGTGCGATATCGAAAGCGCAGTTGATTCGGAAAGGGCATCTAAAGGAGAAGCGGTCGAGGAATGCAAGAAGACTGAACCTGCTGAGTCTTCAGAAGTGAAAGAGTCCTCTGTAGAGGATGATGATCAGAAAAAGAGGTTTGTTGTTTTCTGTCTACTAGAACAATGGCTTTCTTTGTTTCATTGGCTCCTTTTTTAACAAGTATGGGTGCTCTTGGGAGGTGTAAGCAACTGCGCATTTCGTCTACCATTTTGTCATTTCTACCTTCAAAAAGTAATGTACCAGAAATTTGGTTCGCCATCTTAGTCCAAGGTATGTTTGACGTAATTGGGCTTCACATGACTATTTAAGTTGTAGTATCCAAATCTTTGTTCATTGCTTGAGGTTGTTTGTCCTCACTAGGTGGGTATTTGTTTACCAACACTGGTGATCCCATTTAAACTGCCCATTCAATTTCTCATAATGCCGTTTTGTTTTTCTCTAGTAGTGATGAGGATACATCAAGCAAGCCTGACTCGAAAGATGATAAAGGTGGGTGTCCAGTGGACTACTTTTAAACAAGAAATTGTTTCTGGATTTTTCTAAATTGATTATGTGCCCTATCAGGTAGCGCAGCTGCTAGCGGAAGGAACCTCTGGATCAGTGGACTCTCTTCAACCACCAGAGCGACCGATCTAAAGAATCTGTTTAGCAAATATGGCAAGGTCTGCATGTTACAGAAAACTAGACATTGGAAGTTAGGTTTTACTGAGGTTAGACATTGTCCTGATCCATTATTACATGTCCGTACTTCTTGCAGGTTGTTGGTGCTAAAGTAGTAACAAACGCCCGAAGCCCAGGTGCTCGCTGCTATGGCTTTGTTACGATGTGCTCTACTGAGGAGGCCACAAAGTGCATCAGCCATCTGCACAGAACTGAGCTGCACGGCCGCATGATTTCAGTTGAAAGGGTACATGGTTTAGTTTATTATTAAGGTGCTAACACTCTAGAGGAAGCCTGAAATCACTGCGAGTGTTCATTGGTGTCTCATTCACCAATGACAATTCCTACATTTGGAGATCCAATTCACTTGATTTG